TGGGGAATTCTGGGAGTTGAAGTCCACACATCTTAAAGTTGATAAGGTTGAGAAACCCTGGGCTATAATAACAGAAACTTCAAAGCCTGGTTATGTTTTCCTTTCAAGGTGGAGCCAGTCTGAGCTTCTCTCTAATGTTTTCTTTGCTCCCTGAAAACATGTTTTTGTAACTGTCTCTGCATAGTTTCTCCAATGTCTCCTCTCTGGCTCCTCACAGCACCACACAAAACACAATGGCTGTGTGGGCAGACCCACCTCATAGGGTTGTTGTTGTGGGGAAAGGGCTAAAATTAAAGCATCCTCATCTTCGGTCTGGACACACTGAGGGGATTTCCATCTCCATAAGGGGGGAAAAACAATTATTTCTCTAGAATAAAGGAAACAGTTTCTCAACATATGGGTAGGAAAAGCATGCACAGAAAGGGTAATAGAATAGTGTAAATAGTAACTTATGAAAAGTAGTTTTTTTAAAGGTATTTCACATGAAAAAGATGTCATTGCATGTTAGATTTACCCTCTGTACAGGTGCAAAAAGGAGAACCCGCTATGTAAAATGCATTTTAAAATTTCTTCCTTCCCTAGGGAGAGATTTCTAATTACCAAATGTGTGGCTTTATTAATTTACAATATTGGGCTATTTTTAATTTTAGAATTTGTCATGCGTTTCGTCACCGTGGTCTCCAGAGACAGCAGAAGCAAAACGGAGCCTCTGACACAGCATTACATACTGCTGCTGGTAAATATATTTTAACTCAGCTTTACAGATGTCATACAATAAACTTACTATGTCAGTATTCAAGGGTTGACTAGCAGACTTTTACTGATACATTTATTATTACTTTATTTGCAACATTTATATGTATCTCCCATGCAAAAGCAATGTGAGTAGATAGCCAACTTCTCTCCCACCCTAATCTGATCCACCGTACTGATCAGTTTAGTGTTAGTTACCTTCTGCGTTGTGTTGATGGGAAAGTCTTACGCTTACCCAAGTTTGGATCTTGGATCAGCATAAAACACAGTAGCACTGAAGATAATGATTTGGATCGGAGATTTCAGATTCTTCAAGGGTTTTATTTTTGCTTTGCGCATACTTTTGTTTCAGGGCACAGTGCAAGGTTCTGATTTTAAAATAGTTCAGCTCAGCCACTTCCTAAAATCTTACCATTAGAAAAAGTGAGACAATGACCTCAATTGACATGGTAGCATAATATCTTAGAAGAGTGTTTCATGCACCCTCGGTGGTAGCTTGATGCATTTAGGGATGGTAGGGTAGGCACTGTGTAAAAGTGGTATTAAAAGAAGAATGAACTGTCAGGCTGGTAGACTTTTACAGATGGAGTGAGCCCAAGGCAGCCTTTTTTTCCCCCTCCCCTTTCATGGAACAAGATGTTGGGGCCCAGCATTATCTTAATTATCACCTGGATCAACTCAAGGGGACCCTTTCTTAGAATCCTGTTTGCTGGAAAGCAAAGCAGAGTTTTCATAGCTAAATTGACGCTAGTTCACCTAGTTACAGAACTAACCCATTTTCTTCCCATTCACATAGTACAATAAACGAAATAAATAAGCTGGTCCTCACACCATTCTGAGCCACATGGGGGGAAAATAGTGTTACATTTGGCTAGTGGTGTGCAAATGCAGCTTCTCAGTCTTTAAGTGATGGGGTTTAATGGGTTGTGTGAACACAGCCTCTATGTTGTTTATGCCTCATCTCTTGCTACTGTTAAGAAACCTCCTTAAATAATATTAGAAACAATTACTATTAGAAATATTATTAGAAACGTCTAATATTAGAAATATTATGACCTGTCTGGGGGGATATTTAAAGTTAATCCAGTAAGAGCCTTCTTCCACATTTCAGATACTTCGAATATTAAAAACCAGGAATAGTCGTCACTGTACATAAGTGCGATCAACCACAGCCACAGATTTTCCCAAAATTCCAAAAAAGAGTCACATTCATGAGTTAGCTATATAAATTTGATTAAATACATTTTAAAAATGTACTTAACTGCACTTATCAAGTTACTAGACCTCCTTGAGACCCCAACACCCCCTCCTCCTTTTCTTAAAGGCAATGCTCATGTTCAAACTGGGGAGGGGGCTTCTTCCTACGTTTCCTTTACTACATCCCCTCCTTAGCAAATAAGTATTTCCTCGCTCAAAAAATCGTACGCTGCTTGTGTTGTACCAGCGGGGCGAAACTAGACCGGGTTTGAGACTAAAATCGAGCTCTGCTTCGCCCAACCCCTGCAAACCCCCCCTCCCGCTTCCGCTCTATTTGGTATATTCCCATCCAAACCAAAATAGAGGAGAAGGCGGCGGGGGGGAGAGCCAGGAGAGGAGGGAAAGGGATGGAAGGGAAAGCGTCGGTTGGCTGAGCGGAGTTGGGGGCGGGGCCAAGGCGCGAGTCCGGTTTGAAGGCGGCCAGAGGGGCGAGGGAGGAGAAAGGGGAGAGGACGCGGCTGGGGCGGGCGCATGAGCGTGGCCGTGCACGCGAGCGATGGGCGGGGCTTTCTCCGCAGCGGGC